GGTTGCTTTATAAATTGACCCAAAACCTCCTTTTGCAAGATATTCAACGTTGGTAAATCTTTCAAAAGGAATCCATTTGAATACTTGATATTTATCATTAATTTCGTTGCATTCTTTTATTAGATTGTCGATATCTTTATCTCCGCTAGATAATTTATCGTTATAAACTCGTTTGTGATAGAAAATGCGATATTTGACACAGTAATCACAGGAGTACTTATTTTCTTGACAACGAGTACATTTACTACAATCATGAGTATTGTGAACTAAACAATCATTGCAGTATCTATTATCTTGACAATAAATACATTTACTACAATCATGAGTATTCGATGCCATCTTTGGGTGCAATTTATAAAATTCGTTTATATCAATATATAAATCGTTTGAATGATGTGTGACAAAAAGCTTCTACATGCAGATTTCTTTTGATGTTGGCGTACATGTACTTTTATTATTTGAACTTCAATGCAAGTTGATTCTGCGTGTGTGTTAAAAGTTAAGTTTTGATGGTTTGTTGTTACATGTGATATATGTAATGTGAAGGAACAATTTTATTGTTAAGTAGTTTAGAATAACGCATTTTACTTTAAGTGAAAATATTCTTATCCATTTATGTACAGTAAATGTATAACTGACGTCTAATTTTAAAAACTTAACTTTTATATTGTGAACAGGAAAAACCATGACATAGCAAAATACTAGTAATACTACAATACCCCATGGGGGAAAGTAAAATAAATTTTATGATCGCGTTTGATAAAACTTTCCTTAATGCATGTAAGTTTAGTTTTTTATCGACAAACTTATAAATGAGAACCTTTGGCAAATAAAAATATTAACTTTTGTTCTTACTATAGTTGGAACACTCATGAAAAGTTAGCAGTTGGAAAAAAAGAATCGCAAAGCTGCTAAACTCTTACCTGGTGATCGTATCACGTGGTGTAAAAGTCACTTGATTATGATCAGCGAGTTGCAGTCAAAAAATACTTCAGTGATCAGAATCGAGTGATTTATCAAAAATGGCTGTGTTATATTCTTTGGACGGTCTTGAGGTAACTTTTTTATAATACTATAGCTATCAATTCTCTTGTAAAAACTATTTTAAAATTATTCTTAGATTCGAATAAAGGAAAATAGCGATTTTCTTGATAGCGTAATAAGTTTAATTCCGCCTAAACATTATTTTAAAAATGAACCTGACGTTCAGGTTAAGTCTGTTTTTTGGACCTATGCCTATTTTTTTATATTAATTTCAAAGATGAATTGATGATCTTCATGTTTTGTGATAATAGTCTGATAATGCTGAGGATAGGGCACAGACTTACCAGCCAAATAAACGGAGACGGCTCGCGAAACAAGTTCTCAAAGAACAGAAAAAACGTGCAAAAAAATTGAAAGTTTGTTCGAGATTTTTTTGTTGTGTTTTGGGAATTATTGATAGAATCCTTCGAGTTTATTATATGAATAAAATTCTTTGAAAAATAGCTTGATCCGTATAATTTAAAAACTGTACTCGAAATTCAGCAAGAAAAACTGGAAAAAATGAAACTAAAAGAGAATGAGAATAAAGATGCGGAAATAGATGATGAGGGTGAAGATGGAGAACAAAGCGATGATGATTCTGAAAATGAAAATGAAAAAGAAGAGAACTTGAAAGGTTTTATATTTGAATATTGCAAACTCATATTGACCTGTCTCGTTTTCAAAATATAACAAATAATAAATTCATAAATACATGAATCATCCTCAGTACCTTCAATTCGTAAACTACCAATAGCTCCATCAAGAAACATTGTGGATCGCCTTGCGCAAATTCGCCGAGCTTCCGGTATTGCCACCGAGTCCATTAATGACGAGAAACAACAACTATCGAAAAGAAAAGCTCGCGAAGTGGCGCAGAAAAAAGAAAAAAAATCTAACAAAAACAAAAAATCTAAAGCTGCAGCATCATCAAATAACCTTGAACTCGGTAGTGAGAAAGCAGATTATGATAAGAACAATAATAGTGAAAATAGTAAGCAGGGAGTGGAAAAAGTTCTTTTCAGTAAATTTGAATTTGGTGAGCAAAAAAAGAAGAAAAAGAGTAAGAAAGATGATAAGAAACTCGTAGAAGAGGTAAATAAATAATTATAAATCTTAATTTTTGTTTAGAGTTTCCATTAATCACGGTTGTTTTACTTTGCTTTTAAAAGCTGGAAACTCGTAAAAAAGAAATCGGAAAATTGAAACAGGAGGATCCAAAAAAGGTAGTTAATTATTAATATTACATACCACATATTTAATTATTGTTAATTACTTTAATTAAAAGGCCGAAGCATTTATCGAGACCGAATCCTGGAAAAAAGTGCTACAAAAAGCCCGCGGTGAAAAAATCAAGGACGATCCTAAACTATTAAAAAAATCAATCCAACGCACTCAAAAAAATAAAAAGAAGAGTGAAAAAGCTTGGTAATTTTAGCATTATAATCGATAAGTTTGATTTCTATAGGTTTTGTTAAAGGAAACAATATCTTATTTTGGTATCATTTAGGAAGGAACGAATCAAAAAAGTTGAAAAGAGTAAATTGGATATACAAAAAAGACGTGCAGAAAATATTCAAGCGCGTTTGGAGGCAAGACACAAAAAAAAGGCAAAGTTTTTCTAATATTAGTATAATCTTAAATTTGCCATACCAATTTAATGAGTAACCAACTCAAATTGATTTATTTATAGAAATCCAAAAAATGAATGCACGAATCATTTATATACATAATTCCATATTCCAATTATTAATTCCTTTTCATTGTATCGGTATTTTATTTCAAATAACTTATTCCGATATATGATAAATAAAAAGCAATGAATTTCATAAAAATTATAAAATAAAATATAATGATAATAATGATAGTGTTTTTATCTCATTGATTTTAAAGCCAAATCATACTTGGAAATGCACATATCAATAATTTCAGATATTATTCTATATATCACAATAATGAAACATAAAATTATATTAATTATATATGAATGGATACATAACAAAATCATAGAGTATATGTATTATATATATTTTAATCATAATTTTAATATATGTAATATGTCCAAATCTTTTATAGTTATTATATCTAATAGAATTATTTTTATTATTAGAGCAATTGCTAGGCTGATTAGAAATTGTTAATTTTTCTAGTTTTGAAGTGATACTTTCAATTTGTTCTGTTAATTTGCTGATTCCAGTATCTACAGATGATATTAATAGAAAAGATAAGTCATTTGATATAGTATTATATTGTTAAAAATTAGAACTATAAGCTGTTGCTACATTAATTACTTCTTTTAATATTACAAGATGAATTAAATTTATAAAGAATTTAATTTTGATCTGAGTCTATTTATAAAGTAAGATATATACAAATAGTCTGAATAGATATTAATCAGATCTATTCTTCTAATTAGTTCTCTAATAGCTATAATATATTATTCTATACTTTTACCAAATAATTATTTTTTTTATTTTAATTATTATTATTATTCATAAAATTAGTTATAATTTTTTAAAATATTTTTCAAATTAATATATAAATAAAGTTTCTCTAGTTTATTGATTAGTATTATTATTATATTCCTAACTTTCTGATTATTCTGAATTATATAGCTTTTTATTAATAAACTATATGATAGCAGGATCTTTTAAATAAACTTCTACTATCTGAATTTTTCTTTCATTACTAATATTATTAGTGATACAAGCATTTTTAAAATCTTGAAGCTAATTAATTAGATCTTGAGTATCATTATAAAATTTTATAATTTTAATATAGTTAGCTTCTTTTGATCTTTCTAAAGCTATAGTAAATACTCTAATTCTATTTATTAAATCTTTAAATCTATAGTTAGTAATTAATAAAGATAATATTTTATTCTTCTTATCTTTATTCATTTCTTCTATTTCTTCAAGTAATATTAATAAAATAAGTATTAAAGTGACAGATATATCTTGAATAACTAGTGATGCTTCTAGATATTTATTAAGTAATGACTATATCAATATTTATTTAAGAATATTTGAATTATATTTTTCAAACTGTTATAAGATATTAAGTAGTTCTTTATTTGATTTTAATTGACTTGAATTAGATACTTTTACAAGTAAGTTTTGTTACTTTCTTTATTTTATTATTTTTGAATTTAAATATCTTTTATTATAGTTTATAAAGATAGATTTATATTTATTCTGATAATAGATTAGTTTCATTTTTAATTAAAACTGCAAAATCTTTTCTTGTCTTGATTTGAATTTTATTGTATATTACTTCTTGATAAAAAATAATAGAATTTTTTTTAGATAATTTGATAATCAGAATCACTATAATCTTTGAGATGTAATTCAATGAATAGTTGAGTGAAGAGTTTTTCTCTTTTTACTTTGGTTTCTCTAGTTAGATTCACTTTAATATATTGCAAAATTATTTCTTTAGTTACTTTTATTTTTTACTAATTTTAATTTAATTCACAGAGAATTCTTTATCTTAATCTAAATTAAATTAGATGACTATTTTAAAATTATTTTCTATAGAGGAGATACTAAAAAGTTATTATCTTTTTTGTGTAAGTATTAATTTGAAAGTAAGTATAATTCTTTTGCTAAGAATTATATTATCAAAGAATTCTTTATAATATATTAATAAGAGTATTCTTTTTTATTAAAAATTATTAATGTAATTTCTAAAAATAGATAACAATAGTATTCTTTGGGTTAATTAACTAGAATATAATTCAATTCCAAAGTATAATTTTAAAGACAGAAATAATAATCAGTTTATTAATAAAATAAGATAATAAATCTTAATCAAGATCTATTTTATAAAAAATATTTCTTAGAATTCTCTTAAACTATAATTTATTTAAAATATGAATTAAGAACTAAACTTATAGAACTCAAACTAAACTAATTAGCTAAAGTACTAACTAATCTGATTAACTAATTATTATTTTTTACTAGCTAAGATATATCACTTTTATATATTTTTTAGAGATTATATAAATAATACTTTTATTATAATATTTATATTACTTTTGTTATGATCTAAATATTACTTTAGCTAATATCATAATATTGATTTTATTATAATAATATTATTAGTTTTACTATAATGATTTTATTAACTTTACTATAATAATTTTATTATGATCATTATGTTTACAAAATTTTCTAAAAATATCTATAAATAATATTTTTTAAAGTTAATATCTAATAAGATATAGATAATTATTCATCTAATCATATTATGATATGAAGTGATCAATAATATATAACTAATTAATATTCTACTAAAAGTTCATATCATAACAGTATTCTTATTATTAATTTAGATTATTAATATTTTTAATTATATTTTTAATTAATATTTTTTTTATATTTTTATTTATTCTTTTTTATTATTATTTATTGAATTTATAATTTATTATTATAATTAATTATTTTTTAAAGATATAAATTAAATTAATTACTTCTATTTAATCTATATATATTTATTTATATTATATAATTATCTAAATATATTAATATTATCTAATAATTCTCAAAGAAAAAATAAAAATAATTACTAAAAGAGTTAAAAAAATATTTTTTTCTGACTATTATTATTCTTTCTTAAACTAGTATATCTACTAATAATATGATTAATATCTTCACAATTATAGCAGATAATAGAATTTCTTGAATTATTATTATTAAAGTTATTATTATTAAAATTATTATTATTATTAAAATTATTATTTTTTCTACTTTTGTATTTACTTGTAATATAATCAAATCTTTTCATAATTATTATATTTAAAAGAATTATTTCTATTATTAGAGTGATTATTAGGCTAACTAAAAATTGCTAATTTTTCTAGTTTTAAAGTAATATTTTCAATTTATTCTATTAATTTGCTAATTTCAATATCTACAAGTGATATTAATAAGAAAAATAAGCTATTTAATATAGTATTATATTGTTAAAAATTAGAATCATAAGCTATTACTATATTAATTACTTTTTCTAATATTACAGAATAAGTTGAATTTTAAAGAATTTAATTTTTGGTCTGAATTTATCTATAAAGTAAGATATATATAAGTAATTTAAATAAGTATTAATTAAATCTACTCTTCTGATTAGTTCTCTAATAGCTATAATATATTATTTTATACTTTTATCAAATAATTATCTTCTTTGTTTTAATTATTATTACTATTCATAGAATTAGTTATGATTTCTGAAGTATTTTTCAAATTGGTATATAAATAATACTTTCTTTATATTTTAAATAGCTTTATCATTATATTTTCAGATTTTTAATTATTCTAAATTCTATAACTTTTTATTAGTAAATCATATGATAGCAGAATCTTTTAGATAAGCTTTTACTATCTGAATTTTTCTTTTATTATTAATACTATTGGCAATACAAGTATTTTTAAAGTCTTGAAGTCAATCAATTAGATTTTGAGTATTATTATAAAATTTTATAATTTTGATATAGTTAGCTTCTTTTGATCTTCTTAAAGTTATAATAAGTACTTCAATTCTATTTATTAAGTCTTCAAATTTATAATTAGTAGTTAATGAAAATGATATTTTATTTTACTTGTCTTTATTTATTTCTTCTTCTTCTTCAAATAATATTGATAAAATAAATATTAAAGTAACAGATATATCTTGAATAATTAGTTGTATTTCTAAATATTTATTAAGTGATAACTATATCTATATTTATTCAAGAGTATTTGAATTAGATTTTTCAAATTGTTATAAAATATTTAATAGTACTTTATTTGATTTTAACTGACTTAGATTAGATACTTTTATAAGTAAATTTTATTACTTTCTTATTTATTCTGTTAAATATCTGCTTCTTTTATTCTTGAATTCAAGTATCTCTTATTGTAATTAATAGAGATAAGTTTATACTTATTCTATTAATAGATCAGTTTCATCTTTAATTAAGATTGCAAAATCTTTTCTTGTTTTAATTTGGGCTTTATTATATATTATTTCTTAATAAAAATAGAAGAATTTTTCTCAGATAATTTGATAATCAGAATTAGTATAATTTTCAAGATATAATTTAATAAATAATTGAGTAAAGAGTCTTTTTCTTTCTACTTTGATTTCTTTAGTTGGATTTACTTTGATATATTATAAAATTATTTTTTTAGTTACTTTGATTCTCTACTAATTTCAATTTAATTTACAAAGAAATTTTTATCTAGATCTGAGTTAAATTAGATGATCACTTTGAAATTATTTTTTACAGAGAGAATATCAAAAAGTTATTATCTTTTTGATATGAATAATTATAAGAAGGATAAGTATTAATCCTAATATATCAAAAATATATGATAAAAATAATTACATAATTTATAGTAAGATTAGAAGAGTCTTTAAAGATTTATTAATAAAAATATGAATACTATTATATTAAGATTTATTTAAAGATAAATAATAATAATATTTTTTAACATGACTAGCTAAAATATTATTAACATTTTAAGATTATACGTATATAATTATTTTAAAATGGTAATAGTGATTGTATTCACGGTAATTATTTATTTTTATAGGTCCAAGAGGGTTATACGACTAACTATTTTCTGAATAAGGTAATATATGTAAG